AAGTACAGTGCCTGCACTCTGAAGGAGAAGTGTAGGTGGGAAGTACAGTGCCTGCACTCTGAAGGAGGGGTGAAGGTGGGAAGTACAGTGCCTGCACTCTGAAGGAGAGGTGTAGGTGGGAAGTACAGTGCCTGCACTCTGAAGGAGGGGTGAAGGTGGGAAGTATAGTGCCTGCACTCTGAAGGAGGGGTGAAGGTAGGAAGTACAGTGCCTGCACTCTGAAGGAGAGGTGTAGGTGGGAAGTACAGTGCCTGTGCTCTGAAGGAGGGGTGAAGGTAGGAAGTACAGTGCCTGCACTCTGAAGGATGGGTGAAGGTTTTGAAGTACAGTGCCTGCACTCTGAAGGAGGGGTGAAGGTAGGAAGTACAGTGCCTGCACTCTGAAGGAGGGGTGAAGGTAGGAAGTACAGTGCCTGCACTCTGAAGGAGGGGTGAAGGTAGGAAGTACAGTGCCTGCACTCTGAAGGAGGGGCTGATATGTTGCAATTTTTGAGCTGTAGAGTCAGCCCGCCTCTGGCAAGACAGTGATGGAGTGAGTGATGATGAAAGCATTCCTTCTTTTTTGGGTCATCTTGCCTCAGCCGGAAATGGCCGATGTTATCAAAAAAAAATATTAGGAATATAAAACATTTTAGTTACTTGTTAAAAAGTTAATAGAAGAAATGGTAACAAGATATGGTAAAACAGAGTATTACATTCACAGGGGAGCGCTAAACCCATAGGGGTTATACAGCGCCTGGGGAATATAAAACATTCAGGCTTAATTTGAGGAAGTTTGAATGGGTTCAAACATCATGAAACGTGTCCACTACTGAGGCCAGTATAAATGTGAAGAAGATTCTTGTTAAAGATTTACACGAGCCATCCTAATAAACAAAAGAAAAAACATCTATTGGCTACAACTTCTGTTAACTGATTGACAAGCAAAATCACATTAAGGTTTAAGAACCGCAACTATTACTTATACAGTACACACAAAAATTAAACAAACATTAATAAACAAACTAATAAATGTATAACTTTCAAACGAGCTTGTAGATGGGTAGAACACTGAAATCACCATACGCACTAAGAGGAGGGCAGCTTTGAATTTAACGTTCCAATAGTCTGGCAACTTACCAGTATCAACCGAACCGTTTGACATCTCAAGGCATCTGTAGGTGTTATCACTGTCCAATCATCTTAAGAATACTCTCAACTCTTGTAAAGCAAGTTAAAGCAGTATTCAAGATACAGATACCGAAGGATTCCACAGTCAGTAAAACAAGAGATTAATCTGTACGGTTCTTCCTTTTATTTGTAATTATTCCTTAACATTCATAGTACAATGTGGTCTATATTACAACAAAATATAAAACAAAGGAACTTAAGGAACAGTACCTCAACCTAACCGAGAAGAATGATCGATCTTGACAGTAATTTCTAACTAAAGGAAAAAAATTAATCGGACTGATAGTGATATTCAATAACAGGGTAATGCCCTTTGGGGGTATCACGAATGAGCTTCGTGTGCCCATCCTAGGTTGCTAGAGCAGCGCGGCACGGCATAGCCACGGCGGCAGTATGGATCCGGGCGGAGCCGACGCGGACACTACAAGTTACGATTACACGCTGACACCACAGTACCGCGCCCCGCACCAACGATCAAGGGTTCGGCGGCGATGCTCCCGGCGTATGTCGCGCGCTTAGTATGGCCGGCGGTCCGGTGGGCCGTAACTGCGGCGATAAGGAAGGGGAGGGTGTTAGTTCTCACCTGTGCCCTCCCTATGTCAACCATCAAATTATCATGACAGTAAACAGCCTTAAAGCTAAAAAGAAATGCGTATGGATGCTGGAGATTATGTCAAATGAAGAGCAGAATTTACTAAATACTATGTGATGTGCCTTACAATTAAATTGTTCTTAAAATTAACATACTCACCCACGCATTGGTGGAGGTGGAGGAGGGTAACTGTAAGAATAATACCAATAAGACAAAATATATTCTTGTACTTGTATTGTCTGTCTCTTACAATATATGCACTTCACCTACATACAAGGAAAACATCAGGACAAACAGGACTAACAAAATTAGTATCGACTACATTCATCTAATCAAAGCAAGTGAATTAAGAGGTTCACCAATTTTGGGGTTCAACTTGACATATCCACCATGAAGCAGTGTACAGTAAGGTGTCTAACCAACATTTACTAAGTAACAAATATCAAAACACACACTGGCTAATGAATGACTTGTAAACAAGAGATTATGAAGTGCACAAGATGTTGGCAACAGTTCCTTTACTATTTCTAGGAAAATTCTCTTTAATGTTATAATCTATTTGAAAGTAGGAAAGGGGAGGAAACTGACTATTTGATATTCAGCTTTACGTCAAGGAACAGAAGCTTACTGTATCGCCCCTCAACAAATTAAGTTCTAGTCATCATTTTAAGGGGAGATGAATGCTTAGCTCTAAGTGAATGAATTAATATTATAATAGTCGTAAAGCTACTGCACTCGCTATAAATAGCAACTCCCTCACAGTAGAAATTTGACTCAATCTGCGCACAATCACTCATCTTCAAGGCTACAACAAATTTTGCTTACTTTGTTAGGTTTAAAGACCATCTTAGTACAGTATAAAGTATCAGCAAATTTCTTTTGCTTGTTATACACAATGAATCTGAGTGTTAGAGATTTAGTGCAACCTCGGATCCTCGAACTTAATTCCTTCCACAAGGCTGTTTGAATGTCGATCTGTTCGAGTACCGAACGAATTTTTCCCAACGAATTTTCTTTTTAGTTGGCTGTTATCACTAATCTTCTTAGGCCCCCATGGTTACTTATTTATACAAATATAAAAACAAAAATGCGAAGAAACACAAAATAGTCTACAGCAAAGTTCCGGCAGGTTGTGTATGTTCAGTCAGGTGCCGAGCAAACGGTCGACTACCAAGTAATTCTTTTTACAGAACAAAGCGTTTGAATACCGAACTGCTCAAGCAGGGAGCTGTTCGAGTACCGAGGTTCCACTGTACATTATCAAAGATAAAGTTATCAATGAGCCTAAATGTTAAGACTTTTTTTTTTCTTTTTTAAGATTTAGAGAATTAGGATTATAGGAAGATTTAAACAGTTACCATTTTATGTGGCAAGTATATCAGCTTGTTTCACAAAGCAGGAGAAAAATGTAGATGATAATATTAAAATTGCCTAGTCACTAAAAGGTACAGACTTAGTGCATTTACAAAAACCACTGACAAATAAGATAATGCAGTTTTAAATCCTATGATAACTGAGAAAAAAAAAAAAAAGTCCATACAATAGTATTGTATGAGTGACAGACCTGTAAATTGTAGCAATTTGCAAATACTGTTTAAGAGAAAAAATACTGCAACAATAAAATTAATAAAAACAAAATATATTTTTTTTACATGCTGGCTGTCTCCCACCAAGGCAGGGTGACCCAAAAAAGAAACACTTTCATCATTATTCACATTATCACTGCCTTGCCAGCAACACAGATTAGACAGATTAGATGTCATTTCAAACCCCTCCTTTAGAGTGCAGGCACTGTACTTTCCACGTCCAGGACTCAAGTCCGACTAACCGGTAAAAATCAAATATACATACAACTAAAAACATTAGATTTAAAACACTAACCGTGGTGGAGGTGATCGTCGACCATATCGCAGGTAATCAGGATGAGGTGGCAGCGGGGGAAGGCGTCGTTCATACAAGTCATCTAGAATGGGTGGTGGAGGTGGGGGATGTTCACCGCGGCGCTCATATAGGCCTTCATCATAATAACGGTCATATCGATCAAATCGATCGAAATCATCCTGAGGAGAATTAAATTTTATCATAGGTGTAAGTATGATAATATAGTGTATGATAATATAGTAAGTATGATAATATAGCATTCTTAAAATTACCGAAAATACTAGGTAAATGGACACGAGCAACTAAAGAGACAATACGGATACATCTCACTTCTGGTAAGCAAAACATGGTGTTCTTATACATTTGCTAACAATAGAATGTACTTACAATATCCATAACTGTTATCTATAGTGCTACTGTCATGCTAGCACATCATGCCCCTTGCAATATAAGTGCAGTGGTACCCCGAGTTTCGAACTTTCTTCGTTCCAGAAGGCTGTTTCAAGTGCCGTTACTGAATGAATTAGTTCCCATAAGGAATAATGTAAATTAGATTAGTCCGTTTCAGACCCCCAAAAATACACTTACAAAAGCACTGACAATAATACACTTACACAATTGTTAGAGTTGGGAGCAGTATGAAACTCAGGGTACCACTGTACTTTTTTTCAAGTACAGTGGAACCTCAAAAATCGAACTGCTCCCAACACAACCAATAATGTAAGTGTATTTTTGTAAGTTCTTTTATAAGTGTATTTTTAAGGGTCTGAAATGGACTAATCTAATTTACATTATCCCTGATGGGAATAAATTCATTCGGTAAAGGCACTCGAACAGACTTCTGGACCGAAGAAAGTTCGATTTTTGAGGTTCCACTGTATATTATGAAGTGTCAGTCACCCAAATCTTCCCATATTGGTATGTCGCCCATTAGATCTTTAACATTAAAAATAAAGGAAGGGTATTTTTATCATCAGATTCGGTATTGGAAATCTTGCATAGCAATTGCAGGATGAAACATTTTAAAAGGGCTAAATCCTGAAACACTTGTGTATACTCTAGTAATCCAGTCCACTGTTTTTCAAGCCTTTATCATACGGTGTAAATACATACTGATGTAGGAATATGAAACTGACCCTGAAACGCAACATACGCTCCCTAGCATAGCTGGGTGGTGGTGGCGGCGGATAGGGATCGTATCTACTTCCAAAGCTCCGGCCTCCACGCTCACGATCAGGAAAACGAAAGCCCCCAATCCGACCATCCCTAGGGCACTCCTTGGACCAGTGTCCACCAGATCCACAACGGTAACACATGTCTGGATTTCCCATTCCAGCTTGCTGCCTGACTCGGGAAGTAGACTCTTGGACTCTCAAGCGCAAACCATGCAGCTCATAGCCATCCAGTTCACGAATTGCTCTCTGTGCCTGAGCCTCATCGTCCATGTGCTGAAAAATTAAAACAGTCGATATTTAAAAGGGAAAACATCAGTGTAAAGAATTATTTTATATTCCTAATTTTTCAACCAATAGTAATGACGATGTAATACAGCCTCTCCTCGCTTAACGACCAAGTTCCGTTCCTAAGACCACATCGGTAAATAAATTCATCACTAAGTGAGGAGCATACTATAATGGTGAAAATAAATGGTATAAAATACCGACACAATGGAAACAAACACATATGCAGTTTAATGTGATCCTTTATTGACAACGTTTCGCCCACACAGTGGGCTTTTTCAAGTCACAAACAGATACTCACGTACCTTCCACCCCAGGTAGATCTGTTTGTGACTTGAAAAAGCCCACTGTGTGGGCGAAACGTTGTCAATAAAGGATCACATTAAACTGCATATGTGTTTATGTTTCCATACTATAATGGTAGTGGGTTTGTGTCAACCATCTTTGATATTGTTGTAATGTCACCTTTGCACCATTTATAAAATTTCTGGTATATTTTTGAATAGAGGAAATCAGCTCTAATATACATTATTAGGTATGCATAGTGGTCAGAGTCGGTCATAAGTCCGAGTCGTTGGTAAACCAGTGCGTCGCGAAGTGAGGAGAGGCTATATAGTAATTTTTTTTTTTTTTTTCAACAAGTCGGCCATCTCCCACCGAGGCAGGGAGACCCAAGAAAGAAAATACCCAAAAAGAAAATGCTTTCATCATCATTCAACACTTTCACCTCACTCACACATAATCACTGTTTTTGCAGAGGTGCTCAGAACACAACAGTTTAAAAGCATATACGTATAAAGATACACAACATATCCCTCCAAACTGCTAATATAGTAATACAGTGGACCCTCGGTTAACGATATTTTTTCACTCCAGAAGTATGTTCAGGTGCCAGTACTGACCGAATTTGTTCCCATAAGGAATATTGTGAAGTAGATTAGTCCATTTTAGACCCACAAACATACACGTACAAACACACATAAATACACTTACATAATTGGTCGCATTCGGAGGTGATCGTTATGCGGGGGTCCACTGTATACGCAAAGAAAAAGCGACAAAATAATTTTGTATTACAATATACTTACAATAAAAGCATAGTTGGTCAAAATGTCAGCCTCTACTACACTGCCATACACCTCAAAGAGGCTCTTCAGCTCCTCAAGTTTGGAATCTTTATGAAGATTGCCAACAAATATTTTTGTCTTCTGATTACCGCCCTTCCTAGCACCAGTGGATGCCTCAACCACCATTGGCTGTAACAAGCCTTTCATTAAAACCTAAGTAATATTTGCTCTTCTTAAAATCACTGCAACAAAAACAAAATCTTAATAAAATACATAATCCAAAGGACTAAAATTTAAATAGCAAAATCTTACTAGACTGTTAAAGAAAAGTAATGTGCAAGTCTAGCAAGGAAATTTTTATGTTTTGGAATTTTCTATAGCGTTTATAAACTCTTTTGTGTGTGCAACTTTATTTTTGACCCTTAAACTGTCCAAACATAGATCTACGTTCACGTGCGTAGCGCTCCGAACGTACCTCTACATTTTTTTTACATTTGAAAGCATGTAAAATAAAACGTAATTACGTTCGGAGCAATACGCATGTGAACGTAGATCTATGTTTGGACAGTTTAAGGGTTAAGTCTGTGTTTGTTGGGAAATCAAGCTCATGGACCCTGCAGGGGCCAAAACCCCAGGTCTTGGACCCTTCTCTAAAATCATTAATGGAATGTATTCCCAACCCTAATGGAAAGGCATTCCCTAACTATACTGGAATTTTATATTTGAATATAGCAAATACAGTGTATATTTCCTCAAGTGAATTGTATTCAGTGTTGTCCTGCCTAAGACTATCTCTGCTTCAAGTCTCCACACTCTTGTTACCATTTATAACCTGGCAATGTCTACAGTACTCCACTAATGTTTTTACAAATGTTTATTAAAAATTTACAAGCTTGTAGTTTTTTAGACATAAAAGTGAAGGAGTATAAGAGATGATTTATGGCCAAATGCTAAAACCTAAAGAGTAATATTATTTAATATTCACTGGATTGTAAGGATTTATTCACCAATACTAAAATAAAGCTTCACCCTTTCTCAATCCTGCCTCGTGCACCTTCAATCCTGCCTTGTGCACCTTCAATCCCGCCACGCGCACCCTCCATCCTGCCTCGTGTACCTTCCATCCTGCCTCGTGTACCCTCCATCCTGCCTCGTGCACCTTCAATCCTGCCTCGTGCACCTTCAATCCTGCCTCATGCACCTTCAATCCTGCCTTGTGCACCTTCAATCCTGCCTTGTGCACCTTCAATCCCGTCTCGTGCACCCTCCAGCCCGCCTCGCGCACCCTTCATCCTGCCTCGTATACCCTCCATCCAGACTCGTATACCCTCCATCCTGCCTCGTGCACCCTCAATCCTGCCTTGCGCACCCTCAATCCTGCCTCATGCACTCTCAATCCTTCCACGTGTACCCTCAATCCTGCCTTGCGCACCCTCAATCCTGCCTCGTGCACCCTCAATCCTGCCTTATGTACCCTCAATCCTGCCTTCCGTACCCTCAATTCTGCCTTCCGTACCCTCAATCCTGCTTCGTACCTCAATCCTGCCTTCCGTACCCTCAATCCTGCCTTCCGTACCCTCAATCCTGCCTTCCGTACCCTCAATCCTGCCTTCCGTACCCTCAATCCTGCCTTCCGTACCCTCAATCCTACCTTCCGTACCCTCAATCCTGCCTTATGTACCCTCAATCTTGCCTTCTGTACCCTCAATCCTGCCTTATGTACCCTCAATCTTGCCTTACGTACCCTCAATCCTGCCTTATGTACCCTCAATCTTGCCTTACGTACCCTCAATCCTGCCTTCCGTACCCTCAATCCTGCCTTATGTACCCTCAATCTTGCCTTACGTACCCTCAATCCTGCCTTCCATACCCTCAATCCTGCCTTATGTACCCTCAATCTTGCCTTACGTACCCTCAATCTTGCCTTACGTACCCTCAATCTTGCCTTACGTACCCTCAATCTTGCCTTACGTACCCTCAATCCTGCCTTGTGTACAGGTGGGAAATTTCACTAAAACAATATTAAAACAAATCTCACATTTGGTTATCCCTCAAGCAACTACAAGTTTACACTTTTGAATCTCTAAACATGAAGTTACTAGCAAAATATATATATAAAAAAAGAATCATTTTGTAAACTGTTATTAAAGGAATTAAGGCACAACTCTGATTCTCAAACCTTTCACTATCAAAATGGTTACAAATAATAATTTATGATATCCACTAGAAGATTTACCTTTCCGTGCAGGGAATGTCCATTGAGTGCTTCTATGGCTGCCTGACCCTCCTCATCCTTCTCCATGTGAACAAATCCATAGTTTTTTACCACATCAGCTTCAACCACCGTTCCATGAGCTTCAAAGAGTTCCCTGATGTCGGAGCCAGTTGCACGATCACTCAAGTTACCAACAAATATTTTAAAAGTATTTCCCCTTACAGGCATCTTGATCACAATCTACCAGGAAAAAATTAGCTTTAATTCTAACGTGTCAAATGTAAATATGCAACTTGCAGTTTTAAATATTGCAAGAGTCCTGATTTAAATACACATACCAAAAGTTGCAACAGCAAATTCTGTGTTAACTTAAAATCACCAAGATTTTCTGAAATCTATTTACATAACAATTAACAGTACTGTATTCAAATTAACTGCAAATGATTTAGACCATTTGCATCATTCTTGATTTAAAAGATGTGAAAAATGGGATGGACAAATATTTAGGTACAAGTAGAGCACTCATATTAAAGTCAAGGCGTTTATTGTATTATTATAATAAAAAAAGAAGCGCTAAACCTACAAGGGTCCTACAGAGCTGCCGGGCAGGGCATTTATTGTAGATATTAACAAGCCTCATCCTCCTGGAAGAACAGCCAACCCATACCTGAAAATTGCTGTCTATCAATCTAGCAAAAACTGGAGGTACATTAACATCTAGTTCTGTAGTGTCTAGCAGAGAAGACAGTGATTAGGTCTGCAGTATCTACCTGAGGAGGCAGCAAGGAATGCCAAGCCTACATCACCCAAATCAAGAAAGACTACCAGGTATTCAAGTTGCAGGCAAAACCTTCCAGGATACCACCCATCAAACATACCGCAAGCTCTATTGTCAACCAGAATCTGAAGCAAAACTGGATGAAGGATATACAGTGGACCCCCGGTTTACGATCAGCTCCCAATGCGACCAATTATGTAAGTGTATTTATGTAAGTGCGTTTGTATGTGTATGTTTGGGGGTCTGAAATGGACTAATCTAATTCACAATATTCCTTATGGGAACAAATTCGGTCAGTACTGGCACCTGAAAATACTTCTGGAATGAAATAATATCGTAAACCGGGGGTCCACTGTATAGTACAGCTCTTTGACTCCAAATTTCAAACTAATCAATTCTTAAGCATTCTTTCCAGCAGCTAAAGACAGCTTATCCTGGAGATCAGTCAAAAAATGAAAGTAACACTAGTCGTGAGCAGGGTAAGGAGTGGCCGGCAGCACTGCCATTAACTGTGAGCGATGACACTACTAGGCCAAATGCAAAGATTGATATTACAAAAAAAAAAAGTCACAAACTTATATATTCCCTTTCTGTAACACACTATTTAAAAGATGAGTTAATATACTAGCAATGCATGCACAGTATAATGCATTTTAATTTTTATTTTTAGCTGTGTGCTCACATCTAAGGTTAATGATCTATCTTTGTAATGATGCTCTATCTTATACAGTGGAACCTGGGTTTTTGTATGCCCTACTTTGTATGTAAAACTAGAGTGGAACCTCAAATATCAAACTGCTCCCAACACAACCAATTACTTAAGTGTATTTTTGTAAGTGCTTTTATAAGTGTATTTTTGAGGGTCTGAAATGGACTAATCCAATTTACATTATTCCTGATGGGAATAAATTCATTCGGTAAAGGCACTCAAACAGCCTTCTGGACCGAAGAAAGTTCGATATTTGAGGTTCCACTGTATAGTTATTCTCTATAAAATGCATTTTTTGATAATATTTTTGGGTGTCTGGAATTGATTAATTGGATTTACATTATTTCTCATGGGAAATATTAACAAAAAATACATTTTATAGAGAATATCTATAGTTTTACACACAAACTAGAGTATATGAAAACCCAGGTTCCACTGTATATCTAATCAGGTATAAATTTCTCCAAGTCAGGGGTAGCTATTACATTAACCCTTAAACGGTCCAAACAGATCGACGTTCAAATCCGTAGTGCTCCAAACGTAGATCTACGTTTTTTTTTACATATTTTCGAACATAACAAAAAAACAAATGTAGATATAAGTTTTTTTTACACATTTTCAAATGAAAAAAAAAAAGATGATCTACATTTTTTTACATACTTTTAAATGTTGAAAAAACGTATATATACGTTTGGACCATTTAAGGGTTAAAAGTAATGTCTACTGAACTGGAAACTTTAATGAGCTACGACAAGTCAAGAAGAGGCGAGATTTCACAGACTTCCACGTAAAACTAAACCAAATACTTGCGTACCAATAATATTAGTCCACAATAATCCTGGATATTACAGACGTCTATAAGAGGTAAGTATCCAAAGTGTTACCTTGGTTCCAGGCAGCTGTGGTCCACAGACAGCTACTATCCCTCAGTCTGCCAGGGTCTCCAGGTCTCCCTTGGTCCACAGACCACTGTGGAATAATTGGTAAATTGTACATACCTAAAATAAAAGCACTTCATAAGCAGTATCATCTACACAACGATATTTTTTCATTCCAGAAGTATGTTCAGGTGCCAGTACTGACCGAATTTGTTCCCATAAGGAATATTGTGAATTAGATTAGCCCGTTTCAGACCCCCAAAAATACACCTACAAAAGCACTTACAAAAATACACTTACATAATTGGTCGAGTTGGGAGCTGATCGTTAGTTGGGGTCCACTGTACTTCACCCTTAACGACCAAATTCTGTTCCTACGAGTAGGTCAGTAAGAATTGGTTGTTAAGCAAGGCACTGCCCCTTAATGATATTTCAAGCATGTTGTACTGGTAGTGGGTTTGTCGACCATCTTTCAATATTCTTTAAATGTCACCTTTCCACCATTTATAACATTCTTAGTTTTACTAATATTAAAAATAAAACTAGGCATTAAAAAACAACAAAAAAAATACGCATACAGTACACTGGTCGGAGAGCTGCTCGTATTATTTATTATTATTATTATAATCAAGGGGGAAGCGCTAAACCCATAGGATTATACAGCGCCTGGGGGGGGATGTGGAAGGCATTCAGGCTTAATTCGGGGAACTGGAGCACAGATCCAATTCCCTAAATCAAGAGCCCCTCGCCAACATCAAGGAACTATCCCTGAGGGGAGAGCTGCTCGTAAGTCCGAGTGGTTGTTAAACAGGTTAAGCAAGGAATGCGTGTGTTTGTATATTTAAAAAAATATTTTAATTTTAATTGTTTCACTGTCCCGACCCTAAAATGGTAGACAATCTTTTTCCGAAGAAAATGACGCCAAAAGTACAATATTTGACGGCAACCTTACAGAATTACACAGGCACAAAGTTAGCGTCTCGGTGCGACTCGTGCATCACCAATTTCACTCACTTCGAGCCCTAGTTTAAGCCAACTCCATCTCCTTCAGCCAATAAAACCGTAAAAGTCTTCAAAAATAAAACTTCGAGGTCGTGTGGATAAACGGTTCAAAGAACCGACATTATTATAATCGCGGGAAAGTGCTAAACCCGTAGGATTATACAGCGCCTGTGGGGGGGGATGGAAGGTATTCAGGGTTAATTCAGGGAACTGAAGCACTGATCAAATTCCCTAGATCAAGAGCCTCTCACCAGCGTCAAGGAACCTCTCGAGGGACCTTGGATCAAGAGCCCCTCCCCAGCATCAAGGAACCTCCCTTAAGGTACCTTGGATCAAGAGCCTCTCACCAGCATCAAGGAACCTCTCGAGGGACCTTGGATCAAGAGCCTCTCACCAGCGTCAAGGAACCTCTCTTGAGGGACCTTGGATCAAGAGCCTCTCACCAGCGTCAAGGAACCTCTCGAGGGACCTTGGATCAAGAGCCTCTCACCAGTGTCAAGGAACCTCTCTTGAGGGACCTTGGATCAAGAGCCTCTCACCAGCGTCAAGGAACCTCTCGAGGGACCTTGGATCAAGAGCCTCTCACCAGTGTCAAGGAACCTCTCTTGAGGGACCTTGGATCAAGAGCCTCTCACCAGCATCAAGGAACCTCTCTTGAGGGTCCTTGGATCAAGAGCCTCTCACCAGCGTCAAGGAACCTCTCTTGAGGGACCTTGGATCAAGAGCCTCTCACCAGCGTCAAGGAACCTCTCTTAAGGACGGTTAAATTACACCGAAGTCGAAGGATAATAAATTACGACTCTTACACCACACCTGGATATCTCGACTTTGAAAACATTACCGCTCAAGGGAGGTTCCTTGATGCTAGCAAGGTGCTCTTGATCCAGGGAACTGGATCTGTGCTCCGCACCCGCGAATACCTTCCGTCCTCCCCCCACAGGCGCTGTATAATCCTACGGATTTAGCGTGATCATAACGGGGAAACATTTAACCAACCGGCAGCTTCCTCAGTCCAATATTGAGACCAACAGTCGATCAGAAAAAGTTTGAGGTAATCAGTCCCTCAACCTGGAGTCAATTATCATATGTACTCCTAATTGTACTCAACCACAATTAGTTGAGTACATATTCTGTACTTTTATCAAGATTGATGAGACTGATGACACAAAAGGGACTGATTACCTCGAACTTCTTCAGTCATTCTTCACCATAATAACTGAAGAAATGTGATGGGCGAAACGTTCCTGTAATAAAATATTGTATTAGTGACGTACGTATTTTATTATAATAATAATGAAGCGCTAAACCCACAAGGGTCAGTGACATACGTATTTTACATAATAATTCTGAAATATTAACATAGAGGACACATGTTTAACACACAAAGTTTATTATGTAAATTTAACACTAAATTTAACCAAAATAAACCAAAAATAATGTAAATATGTGAATAAAATGGTTTAATATGTGGTTGGTACTCTACTCATCACTCATCACGTACATAGAGGCTGAGTACGTACGTGATGCCGCGAGTACAAGCAGAGTAGTGTAGAGTACAAGTAGAGTAGTGTAGAGTACAAGAAGAGTATTGTAGAGAGCTATAATAAGAGTAATATTGTAGACTAACACAAGACAACACTGAACCACAAGATGGCGGCGTCACCTCCAACATTCACTCAAATGAGAACTTGATTTTATTAATTATTTATCCTTGTGGAGTCTATTATATGTATATATAAATAATATACATTTATATGTATATGCATAAATTAATATGTAACACCATAGTCGCTTCTATGTAAATATAATAATTAAATAATTTTTTTTTCGTTCATCTTTGTCAAAAATATTCTGGCATCGCCCTTATGTAATTACGTATATAATGTTGAGGTACAGCTCCTGGACCCATTATGTACCTTTGTAATGTTGAGGTACAGCTCCTGGACCCATTATGTACCTTTGTAATGTTGAGGTACAGCTCCTGGACCCATTATGTACCTTTGTAATGTTGAGGTACAGCACCTGGACCCATTATGTACCTTTGTAATGTTGAGGTACAGCTCCTGGACCCATTATGTACCTTTGTAATGTTGAGGTACAGTTCCTGGACCCATTATGTACCTCTGTAATGTTGAGGTACAGTTCCTGGGCCCATTATGTACCTTTGTAATGTTGAGGTACAGCTCCTGGACCCATTATGTACCTCTGTAATGTTGAGGTACAGCTCCTGGACCCATTATGTACCTTTGTAATGTTGAGGTACAGTCCCTGGACCCATTGTGTACCTTTGTAATGTTGAGGTACAGCTCCTGGACCCATTATGTACCTCTGTAATGTTGAGGTACAGTCCCTGGACCCATTATGTACCTCTGTAATGTTGAGGTACAGTCCCTGGACCCATTATGTACCTCCGTAATGTTGAGCAACAGTCCCTGGACCCATTATGTACCTCTGTAATGTTGAGGTACAGTCCCTGGACCCATTATGTACCTCTGTAATGTTGAGGTACAGTTCCTGGACCCATTATGTACCTCTGTAACTTTGTCAAGGAGATTTGGGTGAAATAATTCATATTAGAATTATATTCAGTAATTTGGTACTTGACTTTAACTTTAGGTATACTGACGAATATATCTTATTTTTTGGGTGCTTTTTGACTCGGCTTGACGCAACGTGACGCAACACGACGCAACGCGACGCGATGCGACGCAACGTGACGCAACACGACGCAACGCGACGCGATGCGACGTTACATATGTAAGTTTATTTAGGTACACGTACACATAAGCACAATTATTATACATAGTGACATATGTAAATTGTACACTCTGTGGCCTGGTGTACACAGAGAATTTCCTGAATGAACCCGTTAGAGAGAGGTGATTGGTTAATGGAGTTTAAAGTCTATCTACTACACGAGGGTCATTAAGACTGGTTGGTTGGTTAATGGGGTTTAAAGTCTATCTACTACACCAGGGCCATTAAGATTGGTTGGTTGGTTAATGGGGATTAAAGTCTACTACACGAGGGTCATTAAGACTTGTTTGTTGGTTAATGGAGTTTAAAGTCTACCTTAGAGTTAAGCATGGACATAAATATGCTGGGAGGAATGTACTTTTCAAGCATATATCCTGTGTATGACAGATATACTGCTCTCGGTGTATATATTAAGAGTGGTTATGAAGGGTACTGGTGTGGCAGGTCATGATTGGTCAGGTAACATTGTTGGTCAGCTATGTTGACCTCGTGTGACACCAGGGAAGTGTGGGCAGTGTAACGCCACCTGTCTGACGGTACATATACCATCACCTCCACACTAGTACCTAGTTGACCTCGTGTGACACCAGGGAAGTGTGGGTAGTGTAATATCACCTGTCTGACGGTACATATTTCCATCACCTCCACACTAGTACCTAGTTGACCTCGTGTGACACCAGGGAAGTGTGGGTAGTGTAATATCACCTGTCTGACGGTACATATACCATCACCTCCACACTAGTACCTAGTTGACCTCGTGTGACACCAGGGAAGTGTGGGTAGTGTAATATCACCTGTCTGACGGTACATATACCATCACCTCCACACTAGTACCTAGTTGACCTCGTGTGACACCAGGGAAGTGTGGGCAGTGTAACGCCACCTGTCTGACGGTACATATACCATCACCTCCACACTAGTACCTAGTTGACCTCGTGTGACACCAGGGAAGTGTGGGTAGTGTAACGTCACCTGTCTGACGGTACATATACCATCACCTCCACACTAGTACCTAGGAGTTGACCTCCTAAGTATATGGACGTTGTAAAAGTGTTAAAACATCAGTGTGTTACAGTAGGTCTGGAGTCTACATATCTCTCCACTTGTCTCATAATCTGTAAAAATTGGATAGTATATTGATATGTTATCTTAAAACTGTGGATTTTAGGGCTTAATGACGCTTTAAGAATTTCCTAATCTTTTTTTTTATGTCTAGAACTAGTTTCTCTGTTAACTTCTCCACTAATATATTGAAGTTTAGCTACGGGTTACTAAGTCATTCAAAAAAGCTAAATGATTATAAATATGACATCTAAATTAGGAACTTCCAATGTAACTTGCCAAAAATTATTTTTAAGACCAGCCAACACAATTTAATTTTACTAACTCCTCAGCTTTATTTACGTGGCCTTTCTTCCTAATATTAATTGTATAACAACTGACACTGTAGGTAATTCATTTTTTTTCAGATAATATCCATGGATTACTACTACAATGTCTTGTCTGCTCCTTGCCGGGCTGGCATGTTAACAGCTAAAGCTGTGGAAATTGAGCTTAACCTGAAGCCTGTTGACCTTTTAGCTGGAAAAGAGCAACTAGCAGATGTACTAACACTAAACCCTCAACACACACTACCTACTTTAGTTGATGGTGACTTTGTTCTCTGGGAAAGGTGAGTCTTCACAAGTACGGGCGACTTGAGATCCAATTTGACTGCTTAAACTACCAAAACTTTAACTATTGGACCAGTTTAAAAGACTGGTACTACTTAGTATTTAAGAGCTATAGGTAAAACTTTACTATTAAAGTTGATCCTAAGTGGCTAGGTGTCTAAACTTACATTAGCATAGACACGTCACTTTACTCCATTAATTTACCTCTGCAAATGGCTCCCGTAACCCTCGGGTATACTGCTATAAAGTTTTTTTTACTTCCAGCTCGCCAATTTGTACTTATCTCGCCACCAAGTATGGAAAGACTGATTCTTTATACCCTCGTGACGCAAAGACTTGTGCTACAGTTAATCGCCTCTTGTATTTTGACCTTGGCACGTTGTACCGTCGCTTTGGGGACTATGCAGTAAGTTCACAATTTCCTTCCTCTACCACCCGTGTCAGTGACTCCTTAATTTGTAATTTGTTCATGATTGTAACCATGTATAGGAGTGTAGATTGTCATGATTGTGACCAGATCTACCTGAAGTTCATTACCTTTTGTGACTAATTCAGCTATCATAACTTTGGATTCCAGTCACTGGACCCATTATGTACCTCTGTAATCTTTTGACTACCACCCTCAGAATGGGCATGAGACTTAGCCCTCTCCCTCCTTCCTTGCCCCCACACTAAAGTATTTCGCCTGTAAGCCCTGTGCACTCAATCCTAAAATGGATTTTGTGCAGACTTTCCCCAAGTTCAAAGTTCCTGAGCTGTTTAAAGTCTCTACTTTCTCCTCACAGGCGTTCTTTATAAACTTAGTCACATTTTTAATGTTACATTTTGGTTTCAGTTTCCGCCCTTGTGCATGGGTACAGAGGTAGAGCCCCACAAACTGGACCTCCTTCAAGAAGCTCTTCGTTGGCTGAACCAGTTTCTGGCTGGTCATGAGTGGGCTGTCGGTAACAATATCACCGTTGCAGACATTGTCCTCGTAGCTACAGTGTCTACCATTGAAGCAGCCGGGGTTGATCTTTCTATGCATGATAATGTAGTATCATGGCTTGAGAGGTGCAAGTCGACACTGCCAGGCTACACTGAGGTCAACCAACCTGGTGTCGAAGAATTTGCAAAAACGGCTGAAGACAAACTGAAGAAGCTTTAAATTTAATGTGCCATGTTTCCTAAACTTCTACTAGTTTAATTACTAAACACGAGAGTAAAACCACAACTTAAATAGCATAGTGAAACCCTTCTATTGCAGTTTGCTTGCGCACTGAAAACTTGTAACGTGCCAAGTAAACTGAGTACTAAACTTGAATAAATTACTAGCAAAGTTTGCCTCTTTATTCCCCTCTTAATGTGTTGCTTCCATGACTCCTTATTTAAACTGTTAAAATTGCCAACCACATTCTTGTATTTAGGCTGCATCAGTCTAACAGATCAGAAGAAATTCACAATTGCACCTTGCAAAAGCCTACTACTTGGGGGTCAAATTTGTTAAGTTGGTTTTCCTATTGCATTTATCTTCAAATCCCCCACGACCGTTCTCACCCTTACAACAGAGTTCATCTGGGGTTTTCGAATAAATTCCTTACTGATATTTAACCCAAATACTCTAATCTTAATTCTCCTTTGCGGTTTTTTCCCTCATTAAGTTACCCTTCCTGGAGGGAGTAGGGGAACTAACAAAGCTTTGTTAGTATGTTGAGCTATAGTGTTGACTAACTTTGATAGTGTTTGTCAGATGTCACCACCTGTGAGCCACCTGGCATAAGTAGTGGAAGTGAAGGTTTTTGGTAAACTTGTAGGCTTAAGTTTTAAGTTCCTTTAACTTTTAGATTGGTCTTCTCAAGGTCCTGGACCTCTTAAAGTTGTCTGACAGCTCTGCTTCAGCTCTCTAGCCTCTTGAAGGTTTTGTAATTCCATGTCTCTTGCACTGCATAACAGTGACAGCCTGGTTGATAAGACCCTGATCCACCACGAGGCCTGGTCTCAGACAGAGCCGCGGGGGGCGTTGACCCCCGAAGCCCTCTCCAGGTTGCATGTGATATACGACGGGATGGGGCTATGCAATACATGATCTTATATCACAGGGACAGATCCAGAATTTGCCATATGGTTCTTGTCCCTCTCACCCCTCTAGCACTAGTTAAGTTCCAATATGGAAAGAGTAAGAGAGGACTGCCATGTGTCAGTTAATTACTGATGACAGGTGGGTTAGTCTTCACTCCTGTGGTCGTACTGTGAACTGTAGATATGTAGATTAATAAAAACCCGTATGTACACCTGCTAACCTTTTTTTTTTTTTTTTGGGACCTAGGCCTTCGGTGTGTCCATATGCTCTTGTGCTACCATCCACAGAGTGGATCTGGGGTACGCAATAAACTAGCCACTAAGGTGGCAAAATCTACTATCTAAATCTACTGTCTAGGCTTGCTGTCTTCAGGATAGCAGACTAAAACACTATCCTGCAGGGAGGTGCTGGAATATCTCCTCAGGGAGGGGCTTCAGGGTGCCTCCATGGGAAGGCCAGAGGAAAGGGGGACTAATTTTTGAAATGGACTTTCATTTGGGGGGCTGCGACCCCTTGGCACCGCCACTGCCCATATCCTCTACGTCTGTCACGGAACTTTCTTTAGAACTCTGCTATCAAAACTGAGACAAAGTCCCTGGGCCCATTTTGTACCTCTGTAATGTTGAGGTACAGTCTCTGGACCCATTATGACTCTGTAATGTTGAGGTACAGTCCCTGGATCCATTGTATGCCTCTAATGTTGAGGTACAGTCCCTGAACCCATTATATGCCTGTAATGTTGAGGTACAGTCCCTGAACCCATTATATGGCTGTAATGTTGAGGTACAGTCCCTGGACCCACTGTGTACCTCTTATAATCTTTTGACTACTTCAAACACCATGGGTATGGAGTGCATAATGAAGATATTAAACTTGAGATCAATAGGTTGTTCCATCAGAGCACATACAGTTTACTTCTAGTGCTCTACATACCCCTGGGGAAATAAGTCACTTTTGTGTTAGTCTGGGTAATTTACACGTGTTACTAGGTGTGATGATTATATTTGTGTTCCTGTACCTAAACAAGCTTTTTTTGATTATCATTGTGTCATGATTATCATGATTATCATTGTTATGATTATCATTGTCATGATTATCATTGTCATGATTATCATTGTCATGATTATCATTGTCATGATTATCATTGTCATGATTATCATTGTCATGATTATCATTGTCATGATTATCATTGTGTCATGATTATCATTGTGTCATGATTATCATTGTGTCATGATTATCATGATTTTCATGATTATCATTGTGTCATGATAATGATAATCATGACACAATGATAATCATGAAAATCATGATAATCATGACATAATGATAATCATGACACAATGATAATCATGATAATCATGACACAATGATAATCATGATAATCATGACACAATGATAATCATGACACAATGATAATCATGATAATCATGACTGATAATCATGACATAATGATAATCATGACACAATGATAATCATGACACAATGATAATCATGATAATCATGACACAATGATAATCATGATAATCATGACACAATGATAATCATGACACAATGATAATCATGATAATCATGACTGATAATCATGACATAATGATAATCATGGCACAATGATAATCATAATGATAATCATGACACAATGATAATCATAATGATAATCATGACACAATTATAATCATAATGATAATCATGACATAATGATAATCATGACATAATGATAATCATGACATAATGATAATCATGACATAATGATAATCATGACATAATGATAATCATGACATAATGATAATCATGACACAATGATAATCATAATGATAATCATGACAATGATAATCATGACATAATGATAATCATGACAATGATAATCATAATGATAATCATGACATAATGATAATCATGACAATGATAATCATGACACAATGATAATCATGATAATCATGACACAATGATAATCATGACACAATGATAATCATGACATAATGATAATCATGACACAATGATAATCATAATGATAATCATGACATAATGATAATCATAATGATAATCATGACACAATGATAATCATGACACAATGATAATCATGACACAATGATAATCATGACAATGATAATCATAATGATAATCATGACACAATGATAATCATGACATAATGATAATCATAATGATAATCATGACATAATGATAATCATAATGATAATCATGACAATGATAATCATGACATAATGATAATCATAATGATAATCATGACATAATGATAATCATAATGATAATCATGACATAATGATAATCATATTGATAATCATGACAATGATAATCATAATGATAATCATGACATAATGATAATCATGACACAATGATAATCATAATGATAATCATGACACAATGATAATCATAATGATAATCATGACACAATGATAATCATAATGATAATCATGACAATGATAATCATGACAAAATTATAATCATGACACAATGATAATCATAATGATAATCATGACACAATGATAATCATAATGATAATCATGACATAATGATAATCATGACAAAATTATAATCATGACACAATGATAATCATAATGATAATCATGACTATCTCTGTCATGATTATCATGTTCATAATCTTTATAATTATCTCATTGTCTGCATCGCTCTTGGGCTGTGTAGACCCCCTTGCCTGACGCTCCTCAGTAACCTGACAGCAGTGGTACGAGGAGGTGGTGTTGTGTCTCTGTTGACACCGCTGGGAAATTACTGGTGTTGAGATGGCGGTTTGTTATCGCAGACGCGTTAACACTATTGGTATTGAACTGCTTCGAGGTGCGATTACACCTAGTTCAGCTCAGATACTCTTACCCAAGATAATCAGGGAGACATACGGCATACAAGATAGTGAATTGTATGGGGTAGCGCTGAACGGAGCGCATAGAGTATTTGTGAAACTGCTTGCTGCGACAGTTTATGAATCGGTGGTTACGCGCTTTCAAGATGTGTGTTTTGACGTTACTCCTGCTGTGCGTGTGAGACTGTGTGGACGTGTCTCGATATTATACCTGGATAAAGTTGAGGAATGTCCCCTTCGAGGCAAACGAAGCTGACATCAGAAACGTATTTGAGAAATATGGAACTGTGCATTCTGCCCAGCAGGGTAAGTGGATAATGGGTGCCTATACAGGTATGCCGGAAGGTACATTCAGCCTTAAGATGACGTTGCGCCAACCCATACCGTCATATGTGTATCTTCAAGATTTTAGGACACAGGTAATGGTTTTATATCCTGGACAGCGCGTACGTGTCGCATTGTGGAGAGTATGACCACATAGCGGCGGCATGTGAAAAGAACAGACGCGTGACCAAACCTGTGCAAGAAGACGTAGCCCCAGTCACACGTGATGAAGGTGAGCATCGTTCGTCAGAGGAAGGGCGTGGTCGTTTGTGGAGTGAGATGGTGGAACAGGCTTTTCGAAATGAGAGTGAGTCCTACCCTCAGCTGCCTGCACCTGAGTCGTTGCCGATACCATCTACTGGATTGGTACCCCGGCATGATGTGTTGAGTATTGGTCGAGAGACGAATGTCGGTGAGGATTTAGACGAAGTCTTAAGGACCTTGTCACCGCAAGTGGTGGAAGCACCGTCTCCGGAAGACGTAGCTGGAGACTTTCTGAGTCCGGATTGTCAACAATACGAGACTCCGCAGAAGGACGACGAGACTGGGACATCGGGAGACTTCATACCTCATTGTGAGGTGGATGTTGAGGTACACCGTGAGGCTTCCTCGGATCTTGACATGGAGGATAAGAACGTTACCAGGAAACGGGCAGCTACGTCAGATTCGGATGACGTACTGACGCCGGCACAGAGGACTGGGAAAAAAACTGAGAGGATGGGTGGGGGGGGGGGGGGGGGGGGGGGGGGGGGGTCATGAGGGACGCCATCGCAAGAAGGGAGGCGAATGGGAAGGTACTGTAAAGAAGACACATAGACGTAACAAATCAAGTGGTGAACCACGGGAGGAGAAGAGGAAAGGGTGGGAAAGTATAACAGGCCTTAGGTGTATGACTGCTAATGTTAAACGGTTTGTGTACTAGATTAAAGAGAGATTGGTTGAGTAGTTTTCTTAGCAAACATAGAATTGATGTTCTCTCTCCTTCAAGAACACAATTTCAAAGAAGGAGACGTGTTGCAGGTTGCAGGTTATACAGTTACTGACCCTGCCAACTATTCGTTTGAAAGGTGGTGTGGGTCTTTTAATAAAAGAGACGAGCC